CGTGGATGCTTAATCAAAGACCCTGAGTTGGATCGTCGAGAGCTGCGATAAAAAATAAATGGGAAAAGAAGTCATATTAGGAAAAAAAGGAAAAATAAAACGTAGCGAAATGTGGCCAAAATTCAAGGAAGCTTCCTGCAAAAGCTCAATAAAAGTTATCTTGATGTCTATAAAAACAATCCATAAAGGCTATAAATGCAAATGAGAGATGCTATCAATCCAGTCAAGTTAAGAGTAAATGCAACCAAATGTCGTAATTGCAGCATTGGTATTCTTCATTGGAAAGCGTATTTTATTTGAACGTAGGTTCGACTTCGTCTTCGCTGCTTGTTCGAACCAACACTAAGTCGAACCTACGTTCAAATAAAATACGGTTTCCAATGAAGAATACCAATGCTGCAATTACGACAACCAGTTCAATTGAGTTACGCAATTGGAAATGAGTTAATTATTTTTTTAAAATTGCCAGACACTACGAAATGGTATACTCGGTTGGGTACACACATCTCTAATAAAATCCAATCAAGATAATGTCAAGTTAGAGTGAAAGAACTAGTCGCTCTTACCTGACTGCGAACTTGGCCTTGAACCCGGTGTTGTAGAGCGACATCCTACGCTGTTTCCCGGCCCTGCCACGCCCAGAATGACTCCGGGACCAGACATCAAGGTATCTCCTGCACCAGCAAGGCCAGGACCAGGTGGGAGGACAAGTCCACTAAGATTTCCACTGGAACTTGGCGGCCGAGGAAGAGACGCCTGGGAAGTGGGTGGTGGTTGGCCATGTGGAGTACCTGTGGACATCTCACGACTACTAGGCCTGCCACCGCACATGGAAGGAGATGCGGCTAGATAGAGGATTCAAGTGCAAATTCCAATGTTTGAGCAAATCGAAATCAGACGCTTTCATATCCATATGTAAATAAAGCTGCTAAATACCAGATAAAAACTGAATATATTCTTGATTAATTTGCAATAGACTTCAATTCCACAAGAACCAAGCATTAAACTAGGATTAATCAAAGGAAGCACCCGTTCACGTGATAAGAATTGAGACGAGTGATTAGTAAGGACCCATAGTCGGATGCATTTGTTTTAAATAGTATGTTTGAGAAAAGCCAAATTAAATACCGCGGCAAAGTAAGAAAAAATTATGATAAAAATATGGA